TGCATAATGTGATAAATAGTCACATTTACCAAGTTGACAAAAGTTTAATGTAATAGGTGAGGTTCTAAAAAGTTAACCACGTAACTAGATGTACAGTATCATCTTTAATGTCTATTCATGTCTCGTACGAAAAATGTTAATGTCTACTTATTTTCTCAATGGTCTCAAAATCATTGAAATACGCAAATTCCCATTTTTAGAACATAAAAGTTATCTCAATATTGAATGAGTGTAATACATGTACAACACGAGTTTAATAAGTGCCCATACAATGGCTCATGAATTTACAACATATTTCGCCGCCAAAACATGGACACACCAAATAAGCGCGTTCCAGCCATTCCCCTACAGGAACACTGTTTCTTGAAGTTTACCTAGACTGTCTACCCTTGGATTTGTTTATTTTAGGAGAGTATTATTACGGTCTCGGAGCTACATTAGTAACATTTGCAATATGAAAATATAGTTCAATCATTACCCTTAGCCACTGCCACAAAACATCGGCAGAAGCACAATGGGGAAAGGATTCGGCGCACTGCAAAGTTGAGGCTGGTGATTTAAAAACGACGTTCAACGGTTGGATTAAAGAATCGTCGGGGAATGAAACCAAAGTCAAGAAAGCTTATAGAATAATCCAGGACGTGGCACAAGCTGCTGTTTAACGAAAGCAAACACTGCCAGTATATAGGTGAAACATTTATATTTAACATATTGTAGTAATTAAAACATATTTAAAATCGAAATTACAATAGTGGTGTCATAAACAAAATATTATTATGAGAAATATTTTGTTACCAATATTAAATTTAAAGATAGTAAGGTATATCAATGCGCGGCATATGAAATAATAACTTACAAGATACAAGAAAAACCTGAACAATTACATTAAACGCATTGTATGACTGTTAGTATGCGGGTATATGTAGTACTAGTGCACGCCCTCTGAGGCAAGATGTATATACGGGTACTAACACCACGCACATAAATCACGCACTATAATGCAGATATCAAATTAACC